TCCCTTATACCTATAAATTCTGGTGGGTTAGTTTATGATACGTAATGTTTTCAAATAGGAGCCCCGTGTCCAAGACTAATTAACAATTAAAATTGGGTAGAGCCCGAGACTAAAAAGATGTGGCTGATTAGTCTACAATATGGGACTAGCAACCTATTTAAATTTTCCGCCGTAACACCTGAGGCAATAAACAAAGCACCATGAGCACGGCCGGGTTTGTATCAATTGGGATCTGTATCCCTAGAACTCATAATATAGATCACGAAGACAGATTTCATTACGGTCTTATCCGAGTCTATGACTATAGAGGTCTTCTAGAACCTACATGAAACTTCCTATATTTGAAAACTAGAGCCAAAACCCCTTACAAGGAAACTCTTTAAACGTAGAGGTTGAGTTTTCTCGACGGACTAGGTTCCATTAAAATTAAAACATCAAAGAATTTGGCCCACGAAGCAATGATCCAAGACACCAACGTCAAATTTTCCCATCCAAAAAGATCGGTTCCGGCCGAGACCTCGAAATATCAAGGATTATACCACTCGTTGACTCGCTCTCCAGCCTCGGTTGACCCCCAAATATACGGCCACAACAATGTGAAAACTCAAAGTGAAGCCCTGTTGTTACATCTACAAAGCTGATACAATACGATTTTTTTTGAAAAAAAAATTATATTCTAATGAGGAGACAAATTGTGGCTCACAAATTTGCCAGACAGATTTTCGGGATAAGAAATCGAGATGTTACTAGAGATGGACGCAATATTGAGAGGTACATATTTAATTGGGCATTTGCGCTACACTGCTTTGATGACAAGGCCGTTATAGGGTGTTTAATTCCTTCCTCCTATTGTAATCAGAACAGTTAACAAATGTAGTCTCTGACAGGACTACCTGTCAAGAGAACGATACTATCTGCATACAGAAAATCAAGCAGACCACAAGGAGAACCGAGAACAGGCACGCCAAGAATCGAAAGCAAGACATTGAAGTATAGACCAGAATTTGTCGCATGGAGAAGGCGATAGGGAGATAAAAAGATGCCGGGAACGAGAAACTATCTGTTCATCCCGCTTCTTCAAACCCTGAACTTTGGAAAGCCGCAAAGATTGTTACAGATGAGACAACGGGCAGAAAAAGGATCACCCATAGAAACACACCCTCAAATATCCACTGGGACCTTAGTAGGGCCCAAAGCAGTATTGCATTTCAGATAAGAAATGAGCACATTGGTCTCAATTCTTATCTGTAGCGAAGGTAAGTCCCCGGAGTGATTAATCCAAAATGTCAGTGTGGATATCCATCTCAAAATATCAAACATATGGTCTTGGCGTGTCCACAGTGGGCAATGGGAAGAGGAGAGTTGCTTCAAAAGGCAAAAGACAGGTCGTTTGCGGCAATGATGAACAGCCCAGATGATATAGAGAGAATTACAAAATGGATTCTGGCAAAAGGCTGGTTTGAACAATTCTGGCTTGCAGGAGAAGTAGAAATAGCATTGGACGAAAAGATGAGACGATGTGGACAAGGACAAGACGGAATTCACACTGTATAAACAGTGTAAACGCACTTCCTGTGGGAGACCTCAGAAAACCAATAGACACGAGACAGACAGTTTTGGGGGGTTTTTACCGAATTTGGTTTCCTCCTGTGTAAATATTATAGCTAGATATCCCTGTATGAGCCCATAGGGTACATGAACGGGCTAAATGAAATCAAATCAAAACCCTATTGTAATATCATTTCAACTTACGTAATATTCTCTTGGCATTCTTACATGACACCAAGAGGATGAGAACAGACGGAAAGAATGAATTATAGGTGAATGTGTTGGAAATATCGCGCAATTAAATGGGCGCAATATTTATGGAACGTAAGTAGAATGAATGAATAGATGAAGGTTTATTCGTGACGAGCAGAAGCCCTGCACTCAAAGAGCTCGACACGGGGAAGGCGAGTCCTTCCCCGACGACTATAAACGACAATTACTCAGTTTGACATTTGTACTATTCATGTAGTGGGAGCATTCGCTGATACCGCTTGAGACCTTGGTGCCAGGGTCGTTCACCCTTCCCTTAACCGTTAATATCCACCAAAGGGCAAACAGGAAAAACCTTTGGCTACCCTAACATGCCTTTGCCATCTTGTATATAGCCACCGCGCGAGATAAGCCTCACAATCCTCCCTCTCACGAGTGAGGTAGGTATCCAGGCTACCCAGACTTTAATTCGGGGAGATGACGACCAGAAGGCGGACCAAAACACCTTCCATCGTTGCCTGTTCATAGAGTGTCGATTGCACTATCCTAATTCCTTGCCTCGGCGCCCACAGACACCCTTTAGTCGAGAATACACAAAAAATGTGCGTCCCAGCAGGCCCATTTGTGACCTCTTCACTCGTTCGTTCCACTCCCACAGCTGCCTCTCCTCCCTCAAGATGTGAAGCACTATTAGAGCAACGGTCCCCCATAGACCAAAGCCCGAGCTTTGTAGATTATGACTTGATTTCCTCCTCGTGGGTATACATAGCATCGTAAATGTGTAGTGGGAGATGGCCGGTTTTTTATGAGGTAAATGCCCGATTGCCATTGGAGTATCGCCGTTATCAGTGTTTGAGGCGAGGTGGTGCAGTTAGACTGAGGTGGAGGACTCGCGTGAGAATGATAGGTCGGGCATTGACGTTGAGTCGTAGATTTTAGATGTGCTTGTGAGTGCTTTCGACTCCGATTCGGCTGGGATTCTTCTTGACTATCCCAGATATGCAGAGCATGCTGAGCCATTACACTGGCACCACTGGAAGGTGGAGAACTCGTTTTCGCCGGCGAACGAAAGTAGAAGTTGTCTAAAAGAGTGTCATGTTCGCATTACAGCTAAAAGTGTGGATAGTGTGCGCTACAAGTACAAGTGTAGGAGGGCAAGACTGAACACCTGTACGCGGTGTCCTCTACGAACCTGGGGGTGAAATATTCTCCCAGAGCCAAGTTCAGTCAAACTTCGCAATATCAAAGAAGTTGGCCCACGAGGCAAAACTTCAAATTACTCCACCATGTCAATCTTTCACTCCCAAAGAGTCCGATTCTCAACTAAACTTCATCAAGTCTACAAGTACGACATAGTACATCCTCATACCAATGACCATACCTTTCGTCGACTTTCTCTGGCCTCAGTTAACCACCAAATACACGCCCACGCCGATATTTATACCCGACGGAGGAAGCAAAGTGTGGAGCACAAATCTGGGAGATAGCTCTTTAGGATGGACGTGAGAGGGATCAGGACAAGTTTACAAGATGATGCAGAAGAGGGATACGTTTCCGACGGACGTGGAATTTTGAATTTTGGCAAGAGTTTTACGAATTGAGATTTGTGCGCGCCAAGACTTCGCTTGCGAGAGTACAGCTGACACTATAAAAACAAGCCGACGATAGAAGGTGTCGTGGTTCGCCTCCTGATGGCGTTCTCCGGTATGGTTTGAGTAGCATGGGCAGCTACTCCACTTGGGAAGGAGACATCTTAGATCAAATTTCGCGCGGAGAAAAGTTGAAAGATAATGGAGGCATGTCTGGATAACTCAGGGTTTCTGAGATGTTCCCCTGGGTGGGTATTCACGGATGAGGGTTGACTTGGGGTGAAGAAAAAGCTACCATAACTTCGCAGTGGTACTTGTTAATGAAAGCCGAGATATGAGTGCTCCTCTTGTAAATTGAGTCATCTTTTCTGTATTTTCCTTTGATATTGTGTCATAGCTAGATAGCTGCATACGCAATTAAAATCTGATGCAAAAAAAAAAAAAAAGTACAAGTATAAGTGACACAGAGCCTAAGCCACAGCATAAACGAGTGTGGCGCCATCTAGGCATAGAAATCCACCGATAAGCTCCTCGTGCCCACGCCATACAGCCGTTCATAAATCCAATAGGTAGCCTGATGCGCTACCATATAAGTCATTCCAACCTCTTAAATACACACAAGATGGTGTCAGGAACCTAGACGATATAGATGGCCCGTACGTCCACAACACTCTGTGTCTCCATTATTAAGAGAATATTATTGTATCGTTTTATTGAATCTATTTTATTTCCTTTTGTTTACGCGCGTATACTGTATTGTAACAACACTTGTAAAGCCAGTACTTTGACAACACCTTCATAGCATACAACTGCTGCGAAAGGTTAGATATCTGCTATGTCTCTGATAGTTATTTTGGCAGTGAAGCTTTGAATTTTTTGAGTGCCTCGACAGGTAGTCAAATAACCGTGGAGAGTGCTGCGAGATGAATTTGGCATAGAAAATTTTCTTGTGGAGGAATGAAGTCCACAAAAAATATTAGTTGCTTTTCGCACAGATATCACAACGTTTTCAGCTTATTGGCGCTTTGTGTATGGATAGCAAGAGTTGAAAGTCGTATCCATCCGTCGAGAATCAATTGCAGATCGAAGATTCGACCGAATGTTAGCCAAAGGTTGCTTCTCTGAACTCTTCATCGAAGGCTCCAAAGGTCCACCCAGACCGTTCCTTAATCCCGCACTCAGTGTAATAATTCACTCCAGGTCCGTACAGAATACCACCAATATGTATGTAGCTTTTGTTCTACTATTTGTAGACTTTTTCCAAAGCATGTTTATTTGAGATTAGGCATGCTATACGTCGTACTGATACAAGTCAGTCGTCAGTTATTTCTCAACATGAGTACTGCCAGGAAACTTTGTGAGGTTATGGGGACTTCCTGGTGAGTACCTGAACATGCCGACGTTCTCTACTACAGGATGGTACCGCGACACCACGAAGCCGTGAGGTATCAACGAGTCATGATGATTGCGGCTCAGACAGGGCTGCATGGGAGGGGAGTTAAAGGAGGTTCTACTGACTCATGACCTCAATAATTATCAATTAAAACCACGTTCCAAGGTCCCGATTATGCATATTAGATTTCTATCAGATTAAGAGCTATCCGCCAAACGCACATCAGCACGTATTCCTCCATAGCAACTTTCAGACAAGACATGAGGACACTCTCTTTCAGCTGGGCCCCCCTAGCCGCTCTTTGCATTTCCTTTGTTGTACTTTCAGCCGCAAATCTTGTTCCATCACAAAAGTACGATTGTGGCACTGAAGTTTCCTTTTCTACCATACAGATTGAAAGACTACAAAAAAAGATGCTCAATACCTACGTTAAAATCATTTATCCATGTAATGGCCGAAGATATTGTCTTTCAAAGAGGATTAGAAGTGCCTTTTACCTGGGAAGGGAGTATGAATACTATTCATTTTTTCAACCGAGTAATGGTGTGAAAAATATCGAATCGGCTCTAAAACCTCTGGGAAAACATGCAGAGCATAAGCGTTGTGAGATCAACTTTACTATCGACTTTGCGCACTACATGCTAATTCTTTAACCTACTCAGACCGGTACTACTTGATTGTTCAGTATTATCCCGATAAACAGTACAAAATTAAGGGTGTAATCAAGAGGAGTAGGCGCAATCCACATTGGGAACGTGTTTGCATCACCTCGAAGGATAGCAGCGCTGCTCAGAATTTGTCTGATCGCACTATTGAAGAATCCTTTTCCTAATTCTCAAATGATGTGCCCGGCAAATCAATTACGAGAACGTGGTTAAGAGAACCGAAAGCCCAAATGACGAGTCTAATGTCTCTGGGACTAACTTCCAGAGATTGATATCAGATAAATAGGGCTGAGAATTTTTTACTAATCAACTAAAAATTTTAATACTGTCAAGGTCGAAAGTAGCCTTAATCACTATCAGGTGTTTTCGGCTTGAAGAAGCTTGCGACAAAAGCTTATTCTCTTGCGCCTGCAATTGCTAGTTTGCTTATACGGTCTCTGAACATTGAGCTCAGGCATCTCTAAGGAAACATCCCTACCAATTGACTGTTCATGTATTTAAAGATCCAGATGAAGACTCTGCATCGTCGCGCAATCTATCAAAATAAACTGGAATCTCCTTTGTATAAACCTAGATAAACGTATTCCTGAGTTATTAGAGTGTTCAATTGAACCCTCATTCAAAAATCTAAAACACCTTTAGCCTGAAGATAATTGTGTCTTGCCAATTTTCAGTTAGAGCTAAAAGCTCAAATTTCCCGTGGCTATCATGATTAGGGTTTTATTTTGCTACTTGAGTCAGGTAATCTAGCATGTTGGGCCCCTCTCTGATCCAAGCCCACCTTTTACATTGCTCTTATCCTCTTTTCTCCCGGAAATAAGATCTTTGATATAACACTCGTTGAGGATTTCAATTTAGCTCAGTAACTATCTGTAGAGTTCGGTCTTCTTTCCTACGGGACATCCTGTCCGTAAGAAACAAAAATTCTCAAAAACTTATAGCTCCAGCCAGGCGAAGCTTAGATACTGAAGCCATACGAGATGCGCAAAAATAACTGAACACAACATGGATTAAAAAATAGTAAAAATAAGGTGAGCCTATACATCAAAAGCTCTCTCTTCCGTAAAAAGATGCCAGCTCAATCCAATCCATCAACCCCGTCAGTGAAGCTGAGTATATTCCAGAAACTCATCGGATGGCTACTCTATGTTCAATAAAAGAGATGTAAGTGAATGTTAAGCAGGGATCCGGCCCTGTGTCTTCTGGTTGCTCAGTTTATGACCACAATGATTTCACGCAGGTCTCTCGTGGCCCCGATTAATCAACAATATAATGTGAGTATAGATTGAGACAAAAAAATACGTGTATTCATTTCAACAATGCAGAATCGCCAATTTTTCTGATTACTCCCCCCGCACCAAGTGAGCCAATCAACAGCGCACAATATGCACGGTCGGGGAGGGCAAGACTGAACTCCTGTACGCGGTGTCCTGTACGAACCTGGGGATGAAATATTCTCCTAGAGCCAACTTCAGTCAAATTTCGCAACACCAAACAAGTTGGCCCACGAGGCAAAACTTCAAATTACCCCACCACGTCAAATTTTCACTCCCAAGGAGTCCGAATCCTATTCAAGCCTCATCAAGTCTACAAGTACGACCTTGTACATCCTTATTCCAATGACCACACCACCCTTCGACCTTCTCTGGCCTTAGCTGGTCACCAAATACACGCCTACGACGATATTTACACCCGACGGAGGAAGCAAAGCGTGGCGCATAAATCTAGGAGATAGCTCTTTGGGATGGGCGTGAGAGGATTCAGGACAGGTTAACAAGATGATGCGAAGGATGGATACAGTCTCGACGGACGTGAAATTTCGAATTTTGGCAAGAGTTTTACAAATTGAGCTTTGTGCGTGCCAAGCTTTCGGTTGCGAGAGTGCAGGCGACACTATAAACACCGCCATGGTTGGATGGTGCGGTGGTACATCGTCTTGGCCGGTCCGCCAAGTAGAATCTGGATAGCTTGGACACTTATCCTACTTGAGACAGTAGATCGCTGGTTCAAATCCAGCGAAAAACACCCACATTTCTCGCGGCGCTTTTATGCATGGATGACGAAGGTATGCTTGGATAACCAAAGGTTTTGAAACGTCCCTTTGGTGGGCACTAACGGAGGAGGGTTGACTGTTTGTGTAAGCGAACATACCTCATAGTGGTATTTGCAAATGAAATCCAGAGTATGAGTGCCTCTGACATCAAAAGAGTCATCCCACATGTATACGTAGCACCAGTCATGTGTCATAGCTCTATAGCTGAATACACATAAAATGATTTAAAAAAAAAAGCACGGTCGGGTTTCCATCAATTGGGATCCGAAACTTTATTCTTGATTCTCTATCTAAGCTATCTACAGAGAGTTATCCCTGATGCAAAAAAACAAAAGGCCTCCACTTCAGACCAATCAGGGTGATCTAGATACTAATGCAACTACATTAATTTTTAGTTGTAGCATTTTCCGTTATGCAGAGGCCAAGGATAACTGTACAAGGAGTATTTTCACTTCTATCCCTAGCATAAAGCTCCCCTCTAAAGTCCTCACTCGATCATACACTTAAAGGAGCCCTTTGCCCTTCATTATCTCCCCTTTCCAAACAACAAAACAATGGCCATTTGCGACTGTGTGTGTTTGTGTTTATTGTGCTACTTGAGTCTATGACTATCCAGCACATTGGGCTCCTCTCCGACCCAGGCCACACCTTGTACAGTGCTCCTATCCTCTTTTGTGACTTGAAAGATCATTGATATATTCCCCTTGATGAATAGCTATTCAGCTCAGTATTTACCCGTGGAATTCAGCCACCTTTGCGACTGTGTGGCAGCCTGGAAAAATCGCAAAGATCACTGGTTGTAAAGCTCTTTTAATACTAACATCAGGGCTAAATCCGAAGACATAGTGGCCCTTCTGAAGCGTTCGAAGAGGTCGGCCAGCTAGGCGCTGCAGACTTGTGGGCACCTCGGAGAACTCACACTGTGCATTTCTGGCCTCCATTCAACCATTTCCGGTAGGTCGTGCTGAAATGTCAGAAAAGTCTTGACAGAGCGTGATTGCTGTATGGTAGCTTAGCCCAACTTCTTTTGTACCATCCAGGGCGCTGGGGAATACCATACGCTCATCGACATTAAAATTGATCCTAGCTAATCAGCCAAAATCTCACTCCTGGCGCTCACCAATGCTTGAAAGTCGAAATTATCAGAAATATCATCCTCACGAGTCTTCTCTTCTCGATCTAATTGCACATCTCAGTCGCCTGTTCTTCCCCAAGATTTATGAGCCCAATAGAGCATCAGTCCCACATACACCAAGACCCTAGCTTTGTATATTATGGTCTAATTTCCTCCCTGCGGGTTTACGAAGCGTCGTAAATTTGGTACTGCGTGCAGCATTTAATTCGGCGCATATATACGCATGAGAGTCGACTGTAACCTATTGAAAAATTTACTTCTGATTGTATTTTTCTATTGAAATACAGAAGCTGAGATTACTTCCGGTCCATAGAGTCAATTAATGCGTCATCAAGACACTGATCAGGTGCCATAGCTAGATTGCTGTCAACAAAGTAACTGAGTTGTAAAGTCAAGGCCATCGATGACGCGGCATGGTAACAACCCGTCTTGTCTAGTTTCCACTGGGCGATGATTTTTCATCTTAACTATTCGACTTGAATAAAATCCAACTAGTTTGGAGTATCTACTGGGTCGCTATGGTTACACACCATAAGCCAGAGTACACCAAGGCTTCCGAATTCCGCGTTCTAGTCCTCTACCTTACTAGAAACAGCCTATCAAGCGAATGAGCCTGAGGGTAAAGACTGGATACCGTCGACGGTGTCCTCTGCAAGCTTGGGAGTAAAATATTCTTCCAGAGTCAAGTTCAGTCAAATCTCGCAATACCAGAGAAGTTGGTTCACAAGGCCATGATTCAATATTCTCCATCAAATCAATATCTCACTCCCAACAGGGACGATTCCGGCCGAAGCATCACCAAGTCTGCAAGTAAGAACTGATAAAGCCTCATTTCTATGACAACTCCTCTCGTCAAATCACCTCCATGTACGCCCACAAGAATTTAAATACCCACCGAAGATGACGAATTGAGGTGTAGAAATCCTGGAGGCAGAATTTCAGAACTGGCGTGAAAAAGATCAAGACAAGATTATACTGACAGTGGATTCGATTTCGAAAGAGGTTAAACGTGGAATTTTGGCTACAACTTTACAAATTGAAGAGCTTTGTGCGCTTTAAGTCTTCTTATGCGAGAATGCAGCTGACACTATAAATCCAAGCTAGCGATGGAAGGTAATGTGGTCCGCCTCCCGGTAGTGACCTTTGGTATATGCTGAATAGCCTGGGCACCTACTTCACTTGGGAAGAAGCCTCGGATCATATTTCTTGCGGTGCCGGTGTGCTTGGATGATTAAAGGTCTCGAAAGCTCTCTTTTGTGGGTACTCATAGAGAAGGGTCGGCTATTTGTGTAAGCAAACATACCTCGAAGTGACATTTGCGAATAAAATCCAGGGTACGAGCGTCTCTAACGTCAGAAGAGTCATCTAATATGTATACAAAGCACTAGTTATGTGTCATAGCTAGACAGCTAATAGTGTTGAAATCTAGACATAAATAAATTGTTCTGTTATCCTGATTTGGCGGCTTGAGGCCCATGCAGGTTTTTATCGGAAGATATGTTCTCCGAATAGGATGACTCAATTTGACATTTAGAACACTCCCACTCAGATTTCATTTGCAGATAGCACTCGAGGTTAACCCTTACAGCGTATGACCTCTTCCGTGCATACCCACCACAAGAAAAAGCGTGAAGACCCAGTGGCTATCCAAGTATGCTTTCATTATCCTACAAGTACGATATCACCGCGAGAGAGTGTGGTGTGTGGGTCTAACTGGATTTGAACCAGCCTCCTCCTATCTCAAATGGGGTAGGTGTTCAAGCTACCCAGAGTCTATTTGGGAGGACGGCCCGAAAGTTGTGCCACTGCACCATCCGACCCGAAATCTAGAAACACCAGACCGAACTCCACGCAGTGCGGATTAGAAGAAGACTACTGATCTTCGATTGCTACCAGCTTTGGTGAGGTCTCGGTTGGCAATGATCTCGGTGGTGGGAATATCATTCAATCACGTAATCAGAACGTAATATTTCTACCTA